GTATTTATAATAGCTACCTACGTAAAGCCAACATTTCTCTCAATAAGGATCAGCCTCTACAGAATCATTTTTAATCCTCTGAATATGAGTTCCACTTTTCTTTACATTGTTGAATATAACTACCTAAATGTAGTATCATGACCCACTTGGAATCAGTTTTCTGAATGTGAGTCACAGTTTCCTATTTTTTTTTGTATATCTAGTAGTTTGGGGTTGAAAATCACAATGGTAGATTATTATAGTGAATCTATTTTGTTTTCCCAAGAATTTATTGTTTAGGTAGAAAATTAACTTGCTTGGACTCAGACTGTGAAAACTAGCCCCCCTTCACTGTGTAGCAGCTGAGTTCTCTGCTGAGTTGCTCCTTCACGAGTCTGCCCCTGGAGAGTACTCCCTGAGCCATGGAGTTCAGTAGTCAGACAAAGACTTGGGTAGATTTTATGGTCAAATTTTGAGATTCTTCCTCTCTGGTTTCGCTTGTCTACAAATTCAGGGGTTCCCCTGCCTGAATTTCCAGTTGTTCTGTCAGCTCTAAGATTTTCTCTTTGAAACATAAATTTAATAAGGTGTTTAACATCACCACATTGGTGAACACACTCTGATGAAGGTGTACCAAACACGTAAATCTTGCTAGGAGAAGCTCTGTCCTCCAAGGTGCACTGCATTCCTTGTTTTGCAGGTGTGCACGTTGGGCTCTCTGGGACTCCCAGGCACATGCATGTAAGAGATCAATCAGGGATTCAATCAAGAGTTTATTCTCAGATCTTAGGTCTCGACCCTTTTATGGCTCTCCTGTTTTCAGAATGGATGCCTTACATTTCCATCTGCTCTGACCTCTAAACTTGCCATGGCAACCTTGAGGTGGTCAGGATAAGGTAATCAATCCACTGCAGATCTAGGAGCAGCCCAAGCAAGAAAACCATAAACTTCCATCAGTAGCGGTCTTTCAATAGAAAACTCTTCTCATATTTTTGCCTGCTTCGGGATATTTTTTAGAACTTTGTGGCCAGTTTTTATCACTGTTATCTGCAGGAGGAACTACCTTCAAGCAGCCATTAACTGAAGTCTCCTGAGACTATTTTTTAGCCCCCTTGCTAGTCCCCTGCACCTACCTTCCTACGCCATCTGTAATTTTTACTCTCCGCAAAGCCAGAACCATACCTTCTATGAAACATCACATTACCACACGAAATTCTCAAAGAACTTCACACTTCACTGAGTAAAAGTCAGGCCCTAAGTAGGGCCTGGAAGGTCTACGTGAAGTTGCTTTTGACCACCTTTCAAACCTCCTCTTAGTCTCACATGGACTGGTCTGGACTGATCTGCTGTGCTTGTGATACACCACCCGTGCTTCAGGGTTCATTCCACTTCAAAGATAGTTGTATGACTGGCTTTTGCTTGAAGCCTCTACCCAAATTGTATCTTGTTAGAGAAGACTTCACTGTCTTGACATTCTTCAATGCATTTACTGCCACTTGATATTGTTTTTTTTCTATGTATACACTATTTACTATGTATCTAGGCTCACTAAAAAGCTACTCCCTGTCTTGACTTTCTTTATTGCATTTATTGCCACTCAATACTATTTATTTTTCTACCATGTATATTTACTATATATGGACTCACTGCAAAGTAAGCTGCCCCGCAGGTGACCATCCTCATTGCATTTACTGCCTCTTGATACTATTGTATTTGTTACCATGTATACACTACTTACATGTATCCATCCTCTCTAAATATCCACTTACTATGTATCTATCCCCACTAAATATACACTATTTACTACTTATCTACTCCCTGCTAAATATACACTGGTTTACTATGTATCTATCCTCTCTAAATATACACCATTTACTATGTATCTATTCTCACTAAATAGACACTATTTACTGGGATATCTACTCCCACTAAATATACATTATTTACTATGTATCTATCCTCACTAAAGTATATAATATTTACTATGTGTCTACCCTCATTAAATATACACTATTTACTATGTATCCACCCTCACTAAAGCATAAAATATTTACTATGTGCCTGCCCTCACTAAAAAGAAAACTGCTCCCTGTCTTGACTTCATTGCATTTACTGCCACTCATCATTACTGCATTTTTTGTTTTAACCAGGTTTACACTATTTACTAACATATCCACCCTTACTTAGAAGAAGCTGCATGGGAACAGGGGTTTATTAATAGTTGCATACAATATCATAATCCGTACCCAGAACAGGACTTGGTAGGTGGAAGGTCCTCAACAAACATTAGCAGAATGAAAGATGAATTAAACACTGATATTTGTTAGGCATTATTTTTAACCCTTTCTATGTATTACCTCTTTAACTTTTCATAGCATCTCTTTAAGTTGGTACTACTATTACCTCATTTTACAGATGATGAACTAAGGCACAGAAACTTGTTGGGAACTGGCAGTTAGCATAATGGCTATGTCGCTGGACTCCCACGTAGTCGACCGCGGTTCGTGTCCCGGACCCGGTGGCTTAAAACTCACGCTGGGCGCGTGTGCGTGCATGCCCAAGATCCCGAGAGGAGAATGGAGGAGAAGGGATTGTGGCATGGCCATCCCCTCTGGGGGGGTGATTCTCGCTTTCTGTCTCTATGTCTCTGTCTGGCAAGCACATGCGCCCTGTGGAAAAAAATCTCTCCAAAAAAAAAAAAAGAAACGTGTTAAGCAAATTGTCCAAGATAACATAGTTAGTAAGCGGCAGAGCCAGGATTTGAAACCAGACTGGTAGCCAGACAGACATGACTGGGATGACAGCAAAAGTATCGGCTCCATCAATGATGGTTTATTAGGAATTTCAAACAAACTGCTCAGTGAGAACTCCTTCCTCCCACCCAGGGCAGGAAGGTTGTTATCTTCCCTCCTGCCATTCCAACACCAGGATGGGGTGCTAAGTCAACATCCTAATTCTCACTGGAGCAATAAACTAGTAGGGCAGATTATCCAAATATGGATTCTCGTACCTTCAGAGTCCACACCTGGCATGTGTGATTAGGTAATTACATTCCTCACCTGAGAGAGGCATGTAAGTGAGGACAGTGAGGAAAAAGCCTGGAAAGTCAAACAAAGACAGATACTATGAAAGACCCTCCCCTGCTAAATATTCATTACCAACTCCCACAATAAAACTAACAGACACCTAACTCCATGCCCTACTCAGTTGGCCTTCTCTGGCAACTGCCAATCTTTTCTAACAAAAATCCTCATTTTCCTATTAAAGCTTCCTTTTTTCCTACTTTACAAGTGTTCATGATTTTTCTCTCTCTGTTTCAGAGGTCTCTAATCATAGAGATCTGGATCCAAAGAATTTAGGATTTTACACAATGTAGCTCAACTCCCCCATTTGATAACAATCTCTCTGCAAAACCATAGTTTATGCCCATAAAATGTCACTGTCTTCAAGATATTTCATTTTTACTTTAGAGACTTAAAACATTTTTTCTAGCTTTCATTTTATTTTAAGCTTTACACAGCGTAGTCACAATGGCTAAGTTGTAACAAGAGCTGGCTACATTAGGGCTCAAAACAACTCTAGCTAATGGCAACAGTTTCTATGTGCTAACTACATTCTAACAAAAAGTGCAGATCATGTGGTCCACTGAATCCACAAAGAATAGGGAAAAAAATCACCCAGACTAAGCAGGAACTATTTTCTGAACTCCATTTGCTTATGAAAGAGCCAGCCCATTGCTCTGACTGCTAGGTAAACACCCCTGCCTCAGTTCCTTTCTTCCTTCCATAACCCATTTGGGACCCTTCCTTCCCTGCTGAGGAACTTTCTTTCTCTCAATAAACTTTGCTTTACTATTCCCTCCTGTTGTGTGTGCTTCTAATTCTTCATGATTGCAGGACACAAACTCGGCCACCCACAAATCCCGCAACACACACAGAGAGCCAGAGAAACAGAGTTAGTGACCCCCAACAAGTTTCATGCCACAATCCACCTCCAGCCTTCCACCAGCCTGGATCACAGCCAGGCTGTGCTGCTACTGGGAACTCAGGAAGATCTCGACTTGAACCTGGAACTTTCCCACGCGACATTTTCTCATGGAGCAAGTTATTTTTTATCATTGTGACACCTCTGGTCCCCATTTCTAATTTTTCTTTTTTGTGTATGAATTATGGAGAAGACACTTTCAGATTCTAATCAGGCAAGATTACAGGGCAAATGAAATCTACAGAAATGACTACACTAATGATTTGTGAAAAACGGTTTTGACCCATAAAATGGCAAATGATTGTGCCAAGCTGGGGCTGCTGCAGGAACTGAAAATCTTTAATTTACATTTGAAACCATAACTCAGGTTATTTGAAAAATAGACTAGTGGGGCAAAAGGTTAATGTGAGAAGTCAGTTACAGATGTCCGTCTGAGAACACAGAAAAGATTTGACTGTACCTAGGATCCAGAAGGTAGCAGTGAAAACCATGAATGTTCATTCACTAGTTCATTTTAAAAACGTTGAAGTATGTATTATGTGTCCTTAATTTTTGTAGGCTCTGGAGTTTCTTGCTTAAAATTCTAAGACAACGTGTATTTTAGAAGAAAAAGCCACTACTTTGCTGCTGTGGCAATCAGCACCATCCGAAATGATCTTCATTATGTTAACTGTGGACTTCTGCAGTGTTTCCACCTGCATCTGCAAGCTCTAGGGGAAAACCGTTCCCCTAGCTTCCCTCGTGTCAAAAAACTAGTGTTGAAGTACTAAATAAATGAACGCCCCGACCTCTCTCTTGTTGTCCTTAAATTGTTGGAAACACGCGAACACGCAAAGACAAAAGAGACATCCCAGAAAGGCGTTCCATCCCAGCCCTCGATAATACGATCCCTACCAGGTTTTTCCAGGGGCGAGGCTCCCCGCCTCCCTGATCCCGCCCACAGCTCGCCAGGTTCCAGCGGCTTCCACCAGGGGGCACGCTTCGCAGGCCAGGACCATCTTCATCTCCCGTTCCGCCCCACCTGACCTGCCATTCACCTGATCCCTTCTCTGCTTCCACCAGGGGGCGCGCCTCCGAAGGCCGGAGCTCGGTTTCCGCCGCCGACCTCCTGAGCGTTGCCAGCACCGTCTCGGGGGATAAGTCCACGAGCTCCTCCCACACGGACTCTGTGTAGAAGTCCACCGTATGTGCATTGGAAATGGACAGGGCTTCCCTCAGAAACCGCAGTAGTTCCCGCAACTTCGCACGCAACGTGGGCAAGTCCTGAGTCCTGGGGAGAGGGCAAGAAGCCGCCATGACGCTCACCCTCCCGGGCTGTAGGTGGCGCAAACGTGGATGGGAGGCGATCTCGCCGCCAAAAGTAGAACAGGCCGAGTAAGTAGAACACCGAGCCAGACTCCAGTCGGGGATCGATTGTTTTGGCTTGGTGACGTATTTCGAGGGCGTCCGTCTTGGTTATCTGGCGACGAAATTGTCTGTGATGGCGCCGGCTAGGCCAGCGGCGAGGCGGCGGACTGGGAGT